CCCACCCCACCCCACCCCCTGTCGTGCGGCCACAGCCACAAAACACGCAGCTCCACCACGGGGGGATGCCCGCAGCGCCTGCCGCCGCCTTTATACGCCCGGCCGCCCCGCCCCGCCCCTGTTCCCGGCTGCAGCCACTTGAGTTTCGATTCCAGGCGCCGGACTCTCGGTTTCCTTTCCGCCAGGCTTGCAGGGCCTGGCAGTGCTGCGGGGGTGGGGAGGGCATCACTTCTGCTGCCTGAACACGGCTGCGGGGTGACACGCCCTAGCATCCCGGCCTCCGGGGTCTCGCTCGCCTCTCATTGAGGTTGGGGCAGCACCTGGCGCCACGGGACCCCACCTGCCCTCACAGGCGCTGCACAGTAGAGGAAGCTCCGAGGGGAAGCTCATGGCCAGGCCCCGGGCAATGGGGTGGTACTGGGATCCAGGCCCAGGGCCCCTGGCAGGGCATCGTGGGGAGCAGGGGCAGGCCTAGCAGGGTGTGCTTAGACAGGTAGGGAACAGTTTGGCCAATAGCAGGCTCAAGTGAAACTCCAGCCTGAAGGGGACAGGGCTTCCTGCTGCCCAAGCCTGGCCTGTGCCAGCCACAGCTAAGCAATCCTGGGGCACAGCTGAAAGAGGACTGAGGGGAGGTTGTGCTAGATACCCTGATCAGGGCAATCCTACCCCCCAGCACTAATATTGGCAAGTATCTCCAGCCTAGATCCCCACAGCAGCTCCCTTCACAGCTGGGAGAGGGGGGGAAGACCTACAATACAGCAGGTATCTTATCAAGAGGCAGAATGTGCCAGGCAGCTGACACAGCATAGGGGAACTCATAGATTGTTAGGGACTGGAAAGAACCTTGTAGATCATCCAGTCCAGTTCCTCTGCACTAGGCAGGAAAAGATAATTGGGGTCAAGTGATCCCAGCAAGGTGACTGTCCAGTCTCCTTTTCCAGATTTCTAGGATAGGTGACTGTACCACCACTGGAGGGAGTTTGTATGAGTTAAGACACCCTGTGAAGGAGTTTTTCCTGGAATTGAGCCTGAAGCAGCCTTCCAGGAATTTGTATCCATTATTCCCGAGGTGCCCTGGTGAACAGCTGTTCACCAAGCCCTTGATGTACTCCCTTGATGTAGCAGGAAGCCACTACCAAGTCCCCTCTCCACCTTCTTTTGTAGGCTGAAGAGGCCCAAGTCCCTCTGCCTCTCCTCATATGGCTTGTCTTGCAGGTCCCTGATCATAAGGGTGGCTCTTCTCTGGACTCTCATGTTTTTCCACATCCTCATTGAAGTGCAGTGCCCAGACCTTCATCTCCATGCCCACAGCCTCACTGGGAGATGTGGGGTCTGGAGCTAGGAACACCAAAACAGTGGGGGCAGGGCTAGGCCCTTGCCCTAGCAGCACCACAGACAAGCATCCCATCCCTGGGGAAAGCATTTGGCCATCTTGCAACCGGCTCAGTTCCTTACCCAATAGCAGGTGAAGCCACTGTGCTCCCCAGTATCACTGCAGCACAGGCCACAGACTCAGGGCTTTTCTAGGAGGCCAGGCACTTGCATACCATGCCAGACCCTAGCATGCAGTTACTGCTCTGGCCACAGAATGGGACATGCATGCTCACTTAGGTCTGGGAGGAAGTACTGAGTTGTCAGGCCCCAGGCAGAGAAAGGCTGAGGGGGTGGGGCACACTTGCACTGCAGGGCCCACACACAGGGATATACCCCACAAATAGCACAAGGCTCCTGCAGCAGATCAGGGCTTAGGGAACAAGAGACTAGAGCTCAGCATCTACCAAGGACCAGCTCTCAAATGGAGGACAACAGAGGCCTCAATGGGCACTGACAGACTTGAGAAAAACAGGGAAAAAAAACACTTTACTGGAAGAGGAAGTGTGATAGTTCAAGCCAGTATCTGTATATATCTGGCACTTCAGTGAGGCTTTTTGGCACTTTTATCTAAAGCAGATTCACTCAACTATACAGTGTTTTTCCAACTGTTTTTAATAAGTGTATCCCTGACTGCAGGACACAGAAGGCAGGGTGAGGGGGGTAGCACAGGGTGTGAGCTTTCTCCCCACCCACCCACATCTGGCCAGCGCCTATGCAGCCTACAGAAGGGCGCCGCTGCCCTCGCCCCCCCTGGCTCTGCTCCTGGAAGGTAGTGGCACAGGGTGATGGGTGGCAGCGCTCCAGCCCTGCCTGCCTGCCCGTGCATAACCCCCAGGGCCTTCCCAAGTACCCCTGGGGGTAGGTATGCCCCCGGTTGACCACCCCGAACTATTACACAGAGGCCAGAAGCCACACTGAAGAAACGTTGGGCAAGCTAGGTCAAGCCAACAGGATGGCTCTTTGGGGCACAGGCTGCATTTGACGCAGGGGCACACCAAGCTGAAAATAAAACATTGTGGGGGGTGTTAATCCACCTCTACAAGCAGCCCATGTTTCCACAACCACCCTGCAGAGGCCACAAGGGAACCAGGGGGGAGCCACCCCAGCCTTCAACCAAGTGCTCTGCGATCAGGATTGGAGCTTTCTGCTGCAGACCCCAAGGCAGCAACCCCACTGCCACCAGTAAACAGCACAGCTTCATGTGTCCCCAACTCATATCTGCCTCACGTCCTGCTACAGGGCAGCACCGCCTTTGTAATGGCTCCCTCCAGCCCAGCAGGCACAGGAATGACTGAGGATAGAGGCAAAGGAATATAAGGGAGGGGGGGGCACCCTGGGGCAGTAGTCACCAGCCCTGCAGTCCAGGTCCTGCAGTCACTGGCCACTGTGAACTGAAGGACTGCCCAAGATCATCACTGCAAACCATAACCCACAGCAACAGGGCACAGAGCAGTGGAAGGTAGAAGCAGGGAAGGGGGAGCTGCCATTGCAGCAACAGGGCAGGAGTTGGTCAATAGATGCTCACATGCACAGCCCCATGTTAGATGGAGGCAACCCCTGCTCCCTTCCCCCCACCCCCCCTCCCCACCCCATACCAACCTTATGAAGGGGAAGGACACTTCCCCAACTCCATGTGCCAGTGGGTCTGACCGCAAATAAAAAACAAACAAAGACCCCCCCACCAGCCAGGTCCCTCTGCTTTTCAGGAAGAGCATCAACACTCAGTCAACAGTCCCCCTGCCTCTCCTCTCAATCAGCCTGAGCTGGGACCAACATCCCAGAACCTTGGAGGAAGGCAAACCCCCACTGACTTCTAGGCAGTGGTCAGGAGGGGGAAAAATCCTTCCTGGTGTCTAGTGACCAGCCACACCTCTGAAAACAACTGGCAGCTGGGTTGGCACTTAAGCAATTCAAGAGTTTGAGTCTCAAAGCCCCTGGGGCTCAGCCCCCTCACTCACCTCCCATTGGGTATTAACAGCAGGAAGTGTTTTGGTCTGCTGAGCAATGCCAAGACCACAGAGGGCCCAGCCCATGAGGTCATCACTTCCCCGCACCTTTTGTTTTCACCTGAACTCCATTCTAGATTCTACTGTTTCTAGTCCTAATCAGAGCCCAGGGATTAGAGTCTCCCCATGGGCTCAACTGATGGGGTGGCTCCCACCTGAGACTCTGACCCTAGGGGACCAGGGGGTGCAGACCACCTCTGCCAGGACCTTCCCTCTTCACCACAAGACAATAGCGCCCCCCACAAATCATGTCAATAAGAGCTGCATACAACGGATTTGACAGCACTCCCCTTGCCGGAACCAAAGAAGTTGTGGAACAATGCCAAGAGATTGGAAAAACTGTTTAATTACGATGAGAGGGCAGGGGAATAAATGGGAGGGGAAAAAAACCAAGAATCCGTACACACACCGAAGGGAGGGAGATACAACAAAAAGGCCAGAGGGGACTCAAATGAGGACATTCTTCCTTAGCAAATATGAAAACGCCACAGAAAGAGAGAAAGAAAGAGAGAGAGCAGAGAAAGAAGGGAAGAGAGACACCATCTCTACTACAGAGTAACCATCGCAGAAGGGCGGCCACGGAGCCTGGGAGAAGGCAGGGCAGAAATATCTCTTCTTTGAGGGGATGGGGAGAAGGAAAAACAAAAAAATAAAAACAAAAAAACAAACAACCCCCCCGCAAAACAGTTGAAAAAAATGGTTTTGGCCATAAAATATAAACACGCTACGCTGCTAAAGGAGCGTTGGAGCCCCCCGCCCACCCACTCGCTGGGCTACCAGAAGTCACGGCGGTGGTAGGAGTCCGGGTCGCAGTACTTTGTGACCACCACTCTGTTGGCGAACTTGCGACCGGTGAGGCCCTGCATGGCCTTCTGGCAGTCAAAGACAGATGTGAACTCCACAAAGATCTGCAAGGGGAGGGAGAGTGCAAAGAGTTAATGGCCACCACTGCCCATGGCTGCCTCATGGATCCATAGCAAGGAAGGCCAGCAGGTCACTGAAAAGGCTGCCTTGAGGCAAAGGCATCCAAGGCCTGGGGTGGGAATGCTTCCCTTAAGAACAGGACTGGGTGCCTTGTGGGAGCAGTGGCTCTGCAGTTTCTTAGCCCCCTCCCCACCAGAGGCCAGGCTTAGATGGCATCTCACAAGGATCAGACTGGTATGGACTGCTGGGGTTTGTTTTTTTTTGTTTTTTTTTTTTTTACTTCCTCTGTAGCAGGGGTGTGACCTACATAGACCTCTTGAATATATATTGACAACATTTCATAGAAGCAGAACATTGGCTGCAATGGTCCCCCTGCTTTACTAGTTGTAGGTTAGGATGTTAGGTCTATGTTGGATCAGCATGGACAGTACTCTTCTATAAACGTTTGGATTATGGTTTATATAGGATGGATTGGATAGGGATGGATCCTGCCTGAGACAGGGGGTTGAACTAAATGACCTCTGGAGGTCCATTCCAACACTACTTCTCGTTGAGTTTAAGGGGCACCACAACCAAAGTTCCCACAGGGTCCCACCTCCCCACTCTGGCAGCGAGAGCAACAGCATTGTGGGAAAGGTAGCATGTGCAAACAGCCAGCCCTGTGGAACACAGTACACAAGGTGCGACAGGCTATTCCGAAACAGAAGTGCCCAGTCTGACTGTCCATGGAAGGGTCTGGGCTGAAACTAGAAGTTTTTGTAGAAATACATACTTTCCAACCAGCACTACTGAGGAATCTCAGCTCCCAGCCCCTGACTCCAACCTTCCAGATCCCACTGTCCTGCCACAGCTGGGAGAGAAGCTAGACATTCCAGCACCCGACATATCCACCCATGTTATCCGACCAGAATCTGCAACTCCCTTCCCCCAACTTAAAGTGGGGCCTGGACCCTTGCAGCCAGCCGTACCTTGCCACAACCGGGGACCTCAACACCGTCGACAGGCCGGGGAATCTCAATGGACTTGACTACGCCGTACTTGCTGCATTCGTCACGCACGTCCTCTACAATCTCCTCATACTCTTCATCATCCAACAGCTCCTCAGGCAGCACCATGTTCATGAGGCAAAGCACCTCAGTGGGGTGCCCACCCATTTGCACCTGCGAGCTCATCAGCCCAGGCACCTGCAGCGTCACTGGGGTCTGGTTTATTGTGCTCTGCAGGAACATGGCAGGAAGGTTATAGGGTGCCCAGCACTAACACCCACACAAGAAAGCCCTGACCAGAGGAACTGTGGTGCTGGTCCCTGGCATGCTTTGCCCAGTCATCTTCCTCTCTGCAGGCCCAGCCTCTCTCCCCACTCTCCCCCAAAGCCATAACCATCCTTCTTTCTGATTCCACTTCCTCACCTGTTGCCAATGCCCACCCAGTTGGTCCTTGTGACAGAGGCTCATGTTCCTAGCTTCTGCCAGTGTCTGAAGCCCCAGCCAGGCAGAGGAGAGCACCAGCAATTCAGAAACAACTCACTTTTGTGCCCCCTGGTAAATCTGATCTGTCACTTAGTTTCCTGTTCTCTCAGATGCAACAGCAAACTCACTGCCTGAAGGACTGACACCAGCTCTCCCCACTCCTGGTATGGCACTCAACCTCAGCTCAGGAGAACATCTGACAGGTTCATGGGATTCACCACCTCCAGCATAAGACAATCCAGTAGGACTAGCATGCTGCAACCCATGTGTTCACAGAGCAGGTGGCAGCTCTATGCACTGGGGCAAGTAATAAAAGAACCTCCACACCAATGATCCAGGGTCAGGGAGCACTACAGACACCTCACCATCAACCCATCCTCAGTGCGTCTCAGACCTAGAGAGCAGATTGAACTTGGGTGTTCTAGCTTCCATCCCCTGTACACACACATTCTAACCCACCAGAACCCACGGGTGATGCGTAGGGGGTGCACATGGGTGTAGGTGTACCCGGAGTGTGGTGCTCCACCCCTTGGTGGGACAAGGCTGCACTGGCATCTGCAGGCAGTCCACAAACCCTGCTGGCTGCTGCCAACGGCGCCTGTAGGCGCTCACCACCCCTCCCCGTCAGCGCAGCCATGCCCCCCAGCTGCTGGGGACATACATTGTTTATGTCAGAACCCACTACCCTCTCCAAGATTTCTCTCAGAAGTCCAGGCTTCAAGTGCCCAGGAAAGCCCACTCACCAGCGTGGCGTTCTTAGCTCCCACACTGGCCCTCTGGACCAAGAGCTTCTTGTCGCCCAGCTGCATGCCATTTAGTCCAGCGATGGCCTGTAAAGCAGAGGGCAAATGAACTCTGGTGCCCCCCACGCCTATGTGGGTCATCCCCTGCATCCCCCAGGGAGGGAGACAGACACACACACACACACACACACACATACACACACACAGCTCTACTGCCCCAGAGCTCAGGGCTGGGCTAGATTGGGCCTGGTGGCAGGGGAGCCTGTCCTGAACAGGGAGGAACAGTGTTCAGAGCCCAAGAGGGCAGGTGCAATAGAGACAGCCCAAACCATGGTGGTCTCCAGCTGGGCAAACAACCCCAGACTGGGGCACCAGTTGTTACCTGCATCCCAGGAGTCGTCCTGGTCGCCCTCCCGGGCATAAGGGAGCACCACAGCCAGACACGAACACAGCCTCGCCAGTCCAGGAAAAGAATGGCTCGACACCACAGGCCACCCTTGCTGCACACCCCATACAGCAGAGGTTTGCCTTGGCCAACATGACAGCAGAACGGGGTGAGGGTGGCTTGGGACAGGAAGTGGGGGGTGGAAGACAGGCAGCCGCACACACGCGAGCCCCTCTCGCAGCTCAGTCAAGCACCAAGGTCCAGCATGCACCACCAGCTCTTTAAAAGCCCTCCGAGATTGGGGCGAAGGGGAGGGGAGGAGGGGGGAGGGGGAAAAGAAGGGTTATGAAGTTACGCGCACCTAAGGATTCCTCTCTGCAGTGGGCCCCCTCTCTCCCAGCAGTGCTGTGTGGGGGAGCTTTTTTTTTTTTTTTTGCAAGGGGCATTTTAAAAAGGGGGCGGAGAGGTGGGATTTTTTAAATCCAAAAAAAATACATTAAAAAAAATATATATATATACTTGCATTTGAACAACTATCGCTGGGAATGCAGCGCACTGAGGGCCCCTGAGGGAACAGTTCTCTTCCTCCTCCTCCCGCTATAACAAAAAGCACAGCGGGAGAAGAGAAAACACCGTTATCTAGAGTCTTGAGAGATGGCTACAGGCCACAACCGACGCCAATGCAGTGGAGCAGAGGGAGGGCGAGGGGGGAGGCAGAAGGGGCATCATGGCAGCGCCAAACTGCAGCCAGCGCCGATGCAAATCCTCTGTGCTGCTCAGGGCCAGGAAGGGTGGAAGGAAGGTCTTACCAGCTGGCAAGGCACAGCCAAAGCTGTGGCTTCACGTGGTTTATTTTTCAGCTGGTCAGACTGACTGGGGAGGGTGGGGGACGACATGGGGGACGGGTCAGGGGCACAGGGAGCAGAGGCAGTCACGGCGAGGACACACAACCTAGGGGGGGAGGACGGGCAGGAACAGCCCGGGTGGCTGGCACACCGAGCTGTAAGGAGAGAGAGAAAGAGACGAAGAGAGAAAGACAGAGACGGGAGCCTCCTAGGAAGGGGTGGGGTGGGGTGGGGGTGGAAAAAAAAAAAAAAAAAAAAAAATCACCTGCTCAAGGATGGGAGGGGAAAAAAAAAACCACACACACACCCCCACAGATGGATGGACGGACAGACGGCGGGCCCTCTGAGGGCGGCAGAGCTGCGAGGAGAGGGGATCAGGGGAGACAGGGGCAGGCCAGCATACCTGGTCAGTGACGTTGATGTCCACATACTCGCAGAAAGCATAGCCCTTTGACAGCCCGGTGGCACTATCCTTCACCAGATTGAAAGCCTTCAGGGGCCCAAAGGACGTGAGCAGCTCCTTCACCTATGCAGAGGAAGCCGGGGGTCAGGAGTAAGCAAGGAAGTGGGGACCTAGGGCTACAATGATTGCCATGAGGCTGAGGTGGTGAATCCCCAGCCCTGCTGTTGACCTATCTGTGGTCCATGCCTCAGTTTCCCCTTTCAAGAAAACTCAGTGAGGCAACGATCACGAGGACCTGGGCAGCATCCAACATGGAAGGACCCCACTTCACAACAGCCCTGCCATATCCAGCATAATACCCCATGCTGCTCAGGGACCCGGTGCCTGGCCATGGGGAGAGAGGGCCCCACACACTGCTGTATTGCACAGAGGACAAGGCTGCTTGTGGAGTGGCAGGACGGTGCTATGGCTGTGAGGAACAGCTAGCTGGGGTCAGCAGGGGTTAGTCCAAGCTAGAGCAGGCCTCAGGCAGGGAAAAAGCTTCTTTAACACGAACAGGGGCTGGCCTGTACCAGAGAATGCCAAGAGGTGGGCAGGCCAAAAGCACACCTGAGGTGACACTGGGTGCAGCTTACTACCAGGGGAAGGTATAAATTCCCTCACTGCCCCCAAGTTCATTGTGAGCAGAGGCTCCCCAGGTCAAGAACCACTGCCTGTACAGCCCTGCCCACCCTGAGGTCTTGGATTAGCACATCACCAGCCCTATAGCTCATGGATCAACAAGGAGACCCCAGCAAAGAACCCTGGGAAGGAGTCTCAACCATGGAATGTCTGTTGTGAATACAGCAGCAGAACAAGAGCGGAGCTGCTTGGAGGGGCACTGGGCATACCTGATCATCATTAAGATAGTTGGGCAAGCCTCCGATGAACAGCTTGTGAGCAGAGTCTGGGACCACCGTTGACACCACGCCTGCGAGCGGAGAGGCAGAGAAAGGGGTGAGAGCTCCCCAGCAGACGCGGGGATGCCTGAGTGAGTCTGAGTAGCAGCGCCCAAAAAAAAGAAGGGCAGCATGAAACCCCTGGCCCTGATGGGGGTCTCAGATGTGGCTGTTTCTTCAGGCTGCCTCTGCGGCTGTCAGCCAAGAGGCAGTGAAGAAACATTCGTTTTCAGGGGAAGGGGAGATAGAGTTAACCCTTCCGTTATCCAAATATCCTCTAGGCCAGGCTGCTCTGCCAACACCTGCCACTTCCTGTGCCACAGTTGAGCTGGGTCAGCACAATGCTAATGGAGGGCTAACTAGGTCAGGTGCAGTGACATGCCTACATGCCAGTACTATATCCCACACTAGAGTCAGCATACACCAAGCAACCTGGCACAGAACTTCTTGTGGGGAGGGAAGGGTCTCCCTACCAGTAGGATGGGCTGCAGGGCTGCATGATCCAAAATGGTGGGAGAGACTCAGCTGTATCCTGAAATCCTTGTGTTCAGTGAAAGAACTCTGGAAACCAACTCACACCAGATTCCAACAGCAGCATGAAACCACCATGGGTCCAGCTGTGCCACTGAGGGCCACAACAATGCCAGGCATGGCTAGTAAGGGTCACCCCTACCCAGAGGATGCCTGCTCCTTTCCCTTTCAGCAACCCCTGTACTTTGCTGTACTGCCCTGACCCTGCACCCGCCTCCCTGGAGATGGGCCCAGAGGTGAAAACACTCCCTCCATTTTCTCATTGGGCACCAGTCTGAGCTAGGTCGGACCACCCAGCAAAGCAGCTTTGCAAGCAAGAGGAAAGGGTGTCTGGCTACGCAGCAGAGTCCAGTACCATACAAAGAAGTGGAGACTCCTGCGCTGGGCCAGCTGGCCAGCATCAGGAGCCAGGACACTCAACTGGGTTAGTCATAGAGATCAGGGGGATGTACAGGTGTCCCCAGTGTTCCCTGTCCACAAATGAATGAGGACAGGCCCCAGGACAGAAGCAACATCTCAGAAATGCTGCACTCAGTGCAACAGCCAGCTATAAACAAGGAATGCTCACTCGGTACAAGACAGGACAACTCCTTGTACAGAGACCACTCATTCTGTGCCAAGGTGTAGCCACCTCTGAGGTAAAGCACTGGGACCACTGAAACACCCCAAGTCCCAAGTTGAGCATCAGTCCATATCAGACTAACACAGCATGGACTGGAGCTAGCTCTGCTAGCAACTGTGGGACTGAGGCCACTCGCAGAGAGCCAACCCTCACTGGAGTTATAAGGCACGCACAGGGGCAGGGTGTATACTAAGCAGGGGTGCCCAATCATAGGGGTATACACTCTCCCCAGATGCTCACCAGGCACGTAGACTGAGGGGTTCTCCGACATGCCAGGCAGAGGCTGGTAGTCGTGGGGACGACGGATCTTCAGTGACTGGCCCTGGAAGATGATGCCGTCGAACGCCATGGCCTGAGTGGTTTCATCCACTGATCGGAACTACAGGAAGTCAAGAAAAGAGTGAGGGACAAGGACAGGAACCTCAATCCAAACAAGAGGGTGCCAGGCCAAATCAGATCCTCAAGTGTCATCTTTTCCTCACTGAAGGAGGCGCTGTCAACCTTTTGCTACCGCAAGCTACTGCTTGAAACCCAGGCCCCTTCAGGGGCATACACCCTCGCAATCATCAGATGCTGTAAAGAATACAGATTGGGGTGCTCAAACCCCAGCCTGAAGGCCAGATCCAGCCCCTGGCACCACGCCATCCAGCTCACAGGGCTCCCTACAGGTCTGAAAATCTGGCAGTGGGGGAGTGGTGCCACCACACCCCTGCTGCCAAATTTCCACATCTGTAAGGAGCCTCAGGGTCTACATTAGATTGGGTGCACAGGGCAGCAGAGAACCCAAACCCAGAGTGCAGGGCCTAGCATTGACAGTGTAGACCCCACCCCAGGGGCTGGCCCGAGACCCAATCCCAGCAGCTAGAGGCCAGCTGAGCCCACACAGGGCCCTATTCAGGCACATGGGGCCTAAATCTGGCCCCGCTCCACTCATCCAGCCCACAGGGCCAAAACCTTGAGCATCACTGGTACAGATAAAGGCAGGCATCCTGGGGACATGTCCTCTGCTGCTGTGACTCAAGCATGCCAGGCTGACACAGGCCACACCCAGTCTATTCCTTGGTTGGATATGGCCCACAGGCCACGAGTTGTTGATTCCTACCCTAAAGACTTCACTCAAATGCCAAGCACCCTGGGAGATGATCAGATTCCAGCCCCAAGCCAGCACTTCCCCAAAACACCAGCAACTAGCTCCCTGTTTTGCAAACCTATTTCTCAACAACACCTCACCAGGACTGCAGACCCCATTTACCTCTCCAAGCTGAGCGCTCCACTATAATCACATCCCCTACAATGCCCCACCAGCAGCAGATACCCCTGTGAATCACTTCAAAAGAAGAAGGAACCTATCCATGATGTATCTGGAGCCAACAGCACCATGCCCTGCTAACCCCACTAGTCCAGAGCCTGAGATTCGCTTCTGGAAATGTTTAAGTCCAGAGAGGAACTACTCCTATTGTCAGCTCTAAGCTCCACCCACAGCTCCCAGCTCCAAGACCATACCGCCCAGCCTCAATACAAAGCCTTCACTGGACAGAGAATCTGCTGTGTTGCTAGGTGGCCACTAAATGAGTCTGCCCTTTTGCCCACTAAGCTTGAAGCTAACAGGTCCCAGGATCCACACTCCCTCCTCCTGCTCAACCACCAAGCAGGCAAAGAGACAAAAGGACCTCTCTCAGATACATGAAAAATACTCTGCTTAGCAATTCAGTGGAAGACAGGTCTTCTTTGAAGGGTCTTTGTGACACCTTCCCATTTGGCTCCATCTCTATCAAGAGGCCTGAGCAGCCCCCCCCCCGCCCCAAACAGACACAATACCCAGCACTGCCACACTCACACTCTCACCTTTCTTTCCATACCTCACAGAATGTTTTCCCCGGTTATGATGCAGCCTGACCCTCAGGACAGTGTTCCTTCACTCACCTCCAAGAATGCAAAGTTCTTGTCCTGGTTGATCTGTACAGCCAGGACAGGGTTGCCTGGTGCTTGGGTCAGACCTCCAAGGCGCATTTGTGCATTGAAGAAATCCATCATGGCCTCCTAGAAAGAGAGAAGGGGAAAGGACATGATGTAGGACAGCCTAGCACCCTGGTCCAGAATTTCAAATAGATAGCAAAGAGCAGGTTGGAAAGCTGGAACAGCCTACTTGCCTTGAATGATGGTAGCAAACTTTTGTGCTACGAGGGATTTCAGCCCCACAATTTTCACTTTAAAAAGAAATGGAAACAACTCTTTGATCTTGTTTTTTTGTTTGAGTGAGTCAAATTCAAATAAAAAAAAGAACGAGAGATAACTTCCATTCACTAATGCTATGCAGGGGCAGGGACCGGCCTTCCCCCAAGGCCTGTCTGACACCTGGTCCTTTTTGGAGTTGGGAGAACAAATGCCAAAGGGCTTCAAAGTCTTACTTTTCAGGGAAATTAACACATCAATGATATCATGACCAATTCCAAGAGCAAAAAGAGGAAATACCCAGACCCAAATGGCACCCATTACGCAGGAGAAAGAATGAGACCTGATTACATTCACCACACAGCCAGGATGCTCATACACAGACCAGCTCAGTACAGGGGTATAAGGGCAGCTGCAAGACCATAGCAGTGTTCAACACCAGAATGAAGAGCAACCCTGAAGCCCTTGCTACATCCTGGACACAACCAGCCTGCAGAACCCTCCCTGCTGCACCCAACATTTCTGATCAGCGAGTGGTATTCCTGAGGGGATGCTAAACACTGCTCCCCTTTCAGCAG